AGTGAACCCTTGATGTGGGGTGCACTACGGGATGTGAGAGGTCTTGAGCGGAATGTGTTGAGGGGATTTCGAGAAGCTCCGACACTGGCCCTAAATCCTAAACCCTAAACGTCTGAAACACAAGAACTTATCAAACGTATCTCCATGGATCCCCACGCCCCCCACGCCAAGGTTGGCAGCCTCGACCCTAAGCCCTTAAACCCTAAAACCCAACTTCTTAACCCCTAAATGTCCCTATATATTCAATACCCCTATATACCCCATGTTTAAGAAACCCTAAATCCTAGACCCTAAATATCTCTAAATGTCCTCATATACCCCCTGTTGAGAACTCCCCCCCTCGTTTTCTTAAACTCCCTTGGTCAAGAGGCCACGCCGGAAGCTTGGAGCACTGCACCGCAAGGTCGGATGCCATTGCCCCACTTGGGTTAGGGATTAGGGCTGAGGGCTTGGGGTCCCTAAGCCCTTAGGACGAAGGTTCAAGGGTTTAGGGTCTAGGGATGGATTAAGGGTTCAGGCTTCCTAAGCCCTAGGCACTAGGGGTTAGCGTTTCTGGACAAGTTCGTAGGCTGATGGGGGGTGGGGGTTTCAGGCTTCAGGGTAAGCGTTGCATGCCAGCGTTTACGCGAACGCGTCGGCCCAAAGCCTTTGTCGAGGCAAGCCATGTGGGCGCACGCAGTCTACGAAAGGTTTAGGGTCTAGGCTATAGGTATAGGGTTTAGGGTCTAGAGGGGAATGGAAAAGAAAATGGAAACTAGATTTGAGGGTAAGGGGTCCGTTAATTAAGATGCGTTAAGGCCCTTCGCTGCTTGACGACTTGATTTCTTCAAGCTTCGGCAGGAGTCAGGGCATGTTTGGGTCCAAGGATACCTCTTTCAAGGAGTTGCCGGGTAGATTTCACTAGAGTAATGGTCCTAAACCACCAAACCCTAAACCCCTAAACCCTAAACCCTAGGCTACACAGGGATCATCTTCATTGTTCATGCTTCCGGCCTTGTACTGTTTGCTGGGAAGGCACCAGGCAGAAGTTTGAAACATTGTGGGTGCGCCTGCGCTTTCGAAGCTTCAGGATTTTTTCACACGCTATCATGGATTCAAGTTCCAGATCTCTCTATCCAAAACTACCAGCATCACACACTTTGCACTTACCTATGCTGGATTTGCTTGCGGGGGGCTCTAAAAACGACCAAAAGACCCCCCCCCACTCCTTGAGTCGTGGGCAGGGCGGCTGCTGGATGCATTGCCACAGGAGTCATACAGATTTTAGGCTCATGCCAGATTTGAAGTTGTTTCAAGAGCCCTCAACTTGACAACCCTCCGAAAGAAGTGTCACGTTAACACAAGTGCACCTGGATAATGAATCCAGGGGCTTTGGTGTCCCTATAGCCTGCTGGCCCATCAGCGACCAGTTGCTTCCCGCTCTTCCCATCTGATAATCACATGCGCTGGATCAAATTAAAGAATCTGGGCTCCAGGTCGCCCATAGTAGGTACTATACAAAGGCTTGGACCCCTTACGTAGACCTTGTTCATAGACTTTACGCACCAGGGATAGGGACTTCTCAAACAATTCGGCTCAAATGGCCTGATGCCGGTATAAGCCTTATATATCCCCCTAAATCATCCCTATACTCCATGCAGTTTCCATTTTCTGTTCCACTATCCCAATATTACCCCAATATACTATAGTAGTTTCCACTTTCTTTTCCATAAAGGTGGGTGAAAAACATTGTGGACGACAAGTTCTTCAGGGTATAGGGTTTGGAGTCTATGCGGGGGCTTACTTCCTATCCTCCATCTTCCTTCACATCTGAGCTTTTTGAACACTCTGAGCTTTCGTCCATGCTTTGCTGCCGAAATCGGTACTCGAGGTACTCGATGGAACTACGGCAGCAGTATTTGAGAAACAGATTCATGATGGCAAGAAGTCACAGGACCTCATGCCCCAAAATCGTTGGTTGTTCTTCAGGAGAAGTTCAGCACTGTACCGCAAGGCAAGCAGCATCTTCTTTGTCGCCTCAGAGTATAGTATTGCAGGAGGGAATCGCATTGAAGTTTTATGGTCTAAGGTACAGGGTATCAGCCTACTGCCAAGGAATTTTCGCATGCCAAAACCGATTTGTTCAACCCTAAGTCCGACTCAACCTAATGGGGAATCGAAAGCTAATCAAATACTGGGCTGTGAAGACAGGCAGAAATCTCAGTTCTTGCTTTGAATCCCTTAGTTGCGGTGATGCCCTTTATCGGTATCATGTACCCGGGACATACAATATGAATCCTGGCAGGTGGAGGGATGATGTAGGGATTAGCGTGGGACGGCTGCACATCAATCAACAACTGTTCCAGGTGTGTAGTTATCAGGTGCATAGCCCCGTTCAGGGCCCATAGAGTATTCGTATATTCGCAAGGTTATATGAGGTCTATGCAGGCCTACTCATGCTACAGGGGTATGCACCTGATAGCCACACGCCTGGAAATCTCCTTGAAGGAGGTTGTTAAACAACACTCTTCCAAACATAGCTCCATTAGAACGGGGACATCGGCAGGATCGCCTTCCAGTAACGGCCCGTTCATCGTAAACCCTGCAATACAAAACGGAGTTGAGGCTCTTTGAGTGTAGGGGCTTACGGTTGCAGGTCTGACAGTAACAGGATATGTCAAAGGCGCGGTGTTGAAGATTCACAACCTAACGTTCCCAAGCGACATCAGAAAAACCCATTGATGAATTGCGAACCTGAATTCTCCATAGCCATGATTCCCTTGAATGGTTTGGACAGTCCAGGATGTTAGCTAGCAACGACCTAATACCAATAATGATTAAGAATTTATAAGAATAATGAATATTAATACTTCTACGAATCATAACAATGATAATAAGAAGTGTCGGTTGAGAAGCCGCTGACACCAATTTCTCACAAGCCATGCACTTGCTTGCCCTGAACCTGGGCTGCTTTTAAGGAACTTCTTTTGAGTTACTATATTGGGAAACCATATCACTTATTTATATATACACACCCATTCTGGTAACTTAATTCAAATTACTATACTGGGGAAACCACATTAATTACATAGCTTAATTCAAGCTTCTTAACAGCAACCCAGAAGCCCTTG